CTTTGGGTTTCTGTGGTTGCCCTGAGATCGATGTAGGGCATAGAGAGCTTACTTCTGCTCATTCTGCAAGGAAGGAGAGCAGATTCCAACAGTAACTAAAAAGAAACTTCTGCAAGTTTCCACCTTCTCCTCCCCCCTCCCATCCCAACCATGTGAGAAGAATAGCTTGAGAAAAACATACCAGTCACTGACTACCAGAAAGCAATACAAGGAAAGGAGGATGGGGCCCACTTATAAGATACAGAGAGAACTCATTAAGAAGGCTATCTTACACCATTTGCTAAGTAAAGGGGAGGATGATAGGGCTTTTTACCTAGCTGCTATCCTGCTTCGGGAGTAGGAAGGGGCAGTCTTGCATACTTCCTTCTGGCTAGTAGGTGCCTGAAGAAAATTAAGTTCCAGCTCTCTTCTGGTGTCTCATTTTCTCTAAACCTTTCTGGCTATTGTGTGTATGAAAATTGTCTTTTATCTTACCCATCTCAAAGAGTATCCTGTCTGCTGGAGGGGAGTTTTGTTTCATAGAATCATAGAACTGGAGTTTCTCTTGCTCCTTCTCAAATGTTTGCTTTTTGGGTCTTTTTGTCTCTGCTGCAATTCATGGCTTTGCTAACCCCCAGAAGTTTGAAGTTAATGTTTTGACATTTTAACGGCTACCAACAGGTTTTTTAATAGCAGCAGTGAAATTGATGATCTTGTTTTTTACATTGTTGTGATCTTTCTGTGCATTAGGGAAAGTAGTGCTGCATTGGCTCATGTTTGACCATTACCTTCACAAGTATAGTGACTAGCAGTTTAATTTCTTATGAATTCTTTATTCAATTATTATCTGGAGATAGGTTAATTCTTCAGTTCTTCAGCAATTGGTTGTTTTACAATGTAAAGTGCTAGTATAAGTTACTAATGATATTGGATAACTTCATTATTTTTATAATTTCTTTTCTTAGAGTTCGACTTTATTTGGATTTACTTGGAAATGTGTGTTTATAAGCATACATGTTAAAGCCATATGAATGACTTCACTAGAAAACTATTATGAAGAAAAAATTTAATTGAACCTTAGATTCTGTGGAGATTTACGGCTTCAGGCCATACACTCGCAAATAAAACTTTCTACTTACTCATTACAAGTGAGCTTTTCAAGCCCCAGTGAGGGATATAATTATACTCTCTCATCATGGAGGTGCTGATTCAGCAGTCCATTTCTATTCACAAGAACACTTAAGCACCTGCTTAACTTTAAGAAGATTCTTAAATCTTGCTGCTTTCAATGGGGTTTAAGCCTACCCTTAACTTGAAGCAGTTGTTTAGCTATTTTGTTGAATAAAGTTAGATGTACATAGGTGCTTAATTGTTTTGTTGATTTTTTTGGGCCGTTTTTACAGACGTAAAGACAGGTATCGTGAAAATGTAAAAATTATGAACAATATTATGAAAACCACTAAGGCTACATCTAGACTACAAGCCTGTTTCGAGAAAGAGCATCTAGACTACAAGCAGATTTTTCAAAAAAGCAAGCTACTTTTTCGAAAGAGAGTCTTGATGCTCTTTCGAAAAAATACAGTTTGTATTCAATAGCGCCTTTTTTCAAAAGAGTACTTTTGAAAAAAGGCGTTATTCCTCATAAAATGAGGTTTACCGTGATCAAAAAAACTGCCATGTTCTTTCGATTTACTTTCGAAAGAACGTGGCTGCAGTCTAGACGCAGGTGAAGTTTTTTTTTAAAAAAGGGCTACTTTTTAAAAAAAAAAAAACCTGTAGTCTAGACACACCCTTAGAGATTTCCTTGTTATCCTCCCTTCATTTCTAACCTACTGATACTGAAGTATGACTGTTTACTTGTAGGATATCTCTCAAGTTTTAAAAAGCCTGGTGTAGTTCCTCTGGCATAGTTTTTATCCAAGCTCCCCGTCAAAGTTTTAGCTTGAAATCAAGTTCCTCCTGAAACAAAATGGAAAGCATTAGAGTATAACAAAAATCCTAATTAGAATTGAAATACAAAGTCTGGAAAATACAGAATGAAATTTGAATACTCTATTTCAGTTAGTGATTCTGCTTATGCATATTCCAATCAAGGTACATGAACTCCGCAGATATCTGCTTTACATCCACTGGTATCTGCATCTGCAAATGTGGATGCGGATATCCACAGCTCATTTTTGCAGAGATGGATGCAGATACGATACAGATTTTGTATCTGCATAGGGCTCTACACATGTGCTCCATGTGCATGTAGCTGCTTCTGCAGTACACACGAGAGATGTGATTCCCAGTTGATATACATATGCTTACATTAGGGATGTGAACAACTAGTTGACTATCTGATAAGCAAATGCTTATTGGATGATTGACACACTAGTCTACTAGTTGCTTCCTCCCCTGCCCCCCCCCCACCCGCTGCCTCTATCAGAAAGAGGCAGCGGGGGGCAGTGGGGAGCAGAGGGAATGCTTCAAAGCGGCAGCACTGTGTGGAGGCCGGGGTCTGCTGGGGACTCTCCCGCTGACCCGGGCTTCCATGTGGCGCGCCACTTTGAAATGCTGCAGGGAGCACAGAGCCAGCAGAAGACTGCTTGAGTCCCCTGATAGCCCTGTGCTCCCTGTAGCGCTTTGTTTTTTTAAATGTGGCAAAGATGGAGGCGCCTTTATTGGCTAATCAAATAGTTGATACAAATTGCATCGACTATTCAATTAGCCAATTAATCTAAATTTAACATCCCTAGCTCACATTAGCTCACATCAGTTCTCATCAAGCTAGCATGAGCATATGTACACCAGCTGTGAATCATATCTGTAGCTACAACCTGAGCCTGGATGTTTTTTTATGCCTTTGCCCTCTACTTCACTATCCTCTAAATTGAGATCTCAATGGGTGACACAGTCCAGTCACTTCTCCAGTTCCTTGGTACTGCCCAGGGTATGAAACATATCCTCTTCAGGGTCTTCAGCTTTACTAGCATTCCTTCTCCAATTTCTTTTTCTGTAAATAACTTTTAGTGAGTTATGCCATGCCTACGCTGCAAGATAAGGTTGTATTTTTTTAGCAGTCACTTAAGGTGCATTTCCCCCCATGCACACAAGAATTTGACATTGTTCAAAGTAGCGCATTACCTGTAGGGTGGCTACTATTGACTTTGACAGTGATGCACTGGGAGTAGCTATACCATGGTTCCAGTGTCCCTTTGCATTCTGAATTATGCTCCTAGTGCATGCTAAGGTCAAAACTGTGCAGTGGATGGTTCTGGGTATATGTCATCAGTGTCTCATAATGCAGTCATCTCCCCCAATCCCTGCTTGAAAGCAACGGCAAACGGTCTTTTTGTGTCCTTTTTCCCCCCTGGTTATGCTCATACAGGCCATAGCAGCATAAACATGAAACCCATCATGGATCCCATTGAGCATCAAAGCATTACGATGATGATGTCAACCTTGGTGTGCTTAATGCTGGAATATGTCAAGAGTGTATCCAGGGTCTGCCAGAATGAAGAAGAGTCTCAGAAGGCCATAAACATATTCTTCTGCGAAGCACTTCTGTTGAGTGACTAGCACACGCCACCAGCATTTGATCCTCTGGACATAGTGGAATGCTGGTTCTGGTACTGTGAGACAAGCACAGACTGGTGGGACTGCATAGTGATGCAGCTATGAGATGATCCGCAGTGGCTGCAGAACTATGCATTTGTAATGGATGCATATGTAACGTAATAGTTAGTGAATTGCTTTTCCCCCACCCTGAAGTGCAACAGTACACCCACTCTTGACAGTGAAGAAGCAAGTGACAATTGCCCTGTGGAAGCTTGCAACACAGACAGCTACCATTCAGTAGGGAATCAGTATGGAGTGGGGAAATCTACAGTGGAGATTGTTGTGATCCAAATAGCCAAGGGAATCAATACCTGTCTGCTATGGAAGGCAGTGACTCTGGGTAACATGAAAGACACAGTGCATATAAATCCAGCAGTTTCTGAACCTGCTGAGTCAGGATAAAAGAAAGATCTTTCAATTCCAATCCCAGCATTGTTCAATCTAACAGCCCAGTATTTGAATGGACAGCAAGTTTCAGGAACTTATGTTCGTAGGTGGTACAATCCATCATCAAGAATAGCAGAAAGTCTCTGCAAGAAACTGGTACGCTCCAAAATGGAGTAAATTTTCATCTGCTATATGCATCATCTGATATTTCCAAAGGGTTTAGATTCCTATCATTGCGTACTATCTCCTCTTTAAAAATGATTGCATCTGTCTCTCAGCTTGCTGTTAGTACACTTGGCAGGTGTTAAACTTCCACCAAAGATGTAAAACATTGTTGAGTATTCTCCCCTGTATGACTGAACTTTTTGCAAGGCCTTGCCAAAAATCTCTCCTTTGGTACTAAAACTTATGTTAACTTGGGATCTTGATTTCATATTGTCAGTACTTAGAGTATCCACTCTGTTTTATTCTGGATAGGTCTCAACTGGAGTATTGTGTTCAGGTTTGGGTGTCACTTTTCAGGAAGGATATGGACAAATTGGAGAGGGCCCAGAGAAGGGCATCAAAAATGATTAAAGGTCTAGAAAACATGACCTGTGAGGGAAGATTGAACAGAGAAGACTGGAAAAGAGAAGACTGAGAGAGGACACAACAGTTTTCAAGTACCTAAAAGGGTGTTACAAGGAGGAAAGGAAAATTATTCTCCTTAACCTCTGATAGGACAAAAGCAGTGGCCATAAATTGCAGCAAAGAAGATTTAGGTTAGACATTAGGATGGTTAAACACTGGAATAAATTGCCTAAGGAGCTTGTGGAATCTCCATCATTGGAGATTAAGAGCAGCTTAGACAAACTGCTGTCACGGATGATCTAGATGGTGCTTGGTTCTGCCGTGAGTGCACGGGACTGGAGTTAATAACTGGTTGAGGTCTTTTCGAGTTCTAATATTTTATGAATCTTTCATTTCAATCCTCTTCATCTGTCTATGAAGGTGGACTTTGTGACAGTAGTCCACTAGAAGAGTAGGTGATCGTGGAGACCCTTATGACCGACCCATCCTACAGTTTTCTCTAACAACAAGGCTTCTTTCAGGCTGCACTTTCTGTTGATTCAAAAGACTCTCTCCTGATTCCACTTAAATAAGGTCACAACTAAGCATGATAAGGACTAGGCGACTATCCAATTCCCCCCCATGCTGCCTCTGTCACATAGAGACATCAAAGGTGGTGGGGGGAAGAAGGGGTACTTCAAAGCAGCAGCACCACACAGCTGAGCTGGGGATCAGCTGTGTTGTACTGCCACTTTGAAACCCCAAGCTGGCATTTCAAAGGGGCAGCTGCCACACAGCTGATTCCTGGCTCAGCTGTGCTGCGCTGCCCCTTTGAAACGTGGAAGCTGGGAGTCCCCAGCTGATCTCAGGTTCCGCTGAAATGCCACACGGAGCCCTTTTGAAAAGCCGAGGGAACTCTCCAGCCAATCCTGGCTTTGAGCGGCATTTCAATGGAACCAGGATTGACCCCAGGCTCCATGAGGGTGCTGTGGATGTGAAATGCACAAGAGCCTCCCTCCACTGGAGACTCTTGTACATTTCAAAGCAGGCACCTGCTTACAGCCCGGAGTCAGCGGGGCTTCCCGCTAGTCCTGGGCTGCACGCTTTGTTCCACATTCCTTTTTGGAAATATACAAACAGCCCCAGGGGCCCTGATTACTGCCCAAACTTTATGCCACTAGAGAAGACTGGAGGTCTTATTCTTTAGATACTCCTTGCATAGAGGACAAACCCTTAAGGAAATCTCTAAAGCTTTTCATCTCTTTTATTGAATAGACTAAATGGTAAGCAGTCTCCTCACAAAGACATTCTAAATGGATTTCAGGTTGCATCCAGCTTTTCCTATGCGTGGACAGTGACACCTTAGTAGATTCTCTATGGAGTCCCCCTTCTTGAAATTTGTAGAGTAGCATTATGGGTCTCTCTGTGTACCTTTACTTGATATTGTGCCCTGATACAAGCTTTGCTAGCAGACACATCCTTTGGTGTAGTGGTCCTGAAGTCTGCGGTATCTTTCTCTCCAATAAATATAGCTTGTGAGTCACTTCAAGCAGAGTATATGTTGGGGCCCATCACTAAGAGGGGAAATTCTGGTTACTTAGTTTATGATAACTGAAGTTTGAGATGTGTGATCCCTACATGTATGCCATAACTCACCCTCCTTTTCCTCTGCTTTGGATTACTTTGTAACGTGATTTGTGGTAGAGAAGAAAATGAAGACATAGTTGGTCCTTGCTGCCTCTTGTGCTCTCAGGTCAGAGATAGAGGACACCAGCACAGGCCATCAGACATTGCTAATGAAAAGTCTTCCAGTCTCAGGTGCATGGAGTGTGTTTGCACCTGAAGTGGAATCCACATAAGGACAACATGTCTTGATCAATGGCACTGCAAAGAAAAGTCGGAAAAAGATACGCAAATTTGCGTATCTTTTTCTGCTTTTCTTTCGAAAGAGGCTTTTCCGAAATTTGGCCTGTCTACATGGCACCAAATTTCAGGAAAAACCTCCACTTTAGGCACATCCCTTCTTCCTCGTAGAACAAGGATTACAGGGATGGTAAAAGAATATGTCCACTTTTTCAGAAATTTTACCGAAAAAGTGGACACGTTCCTTGGATGTGGCATAGCTTTTCCAGGATACCTCTGGTAACCCGGAAAAGCTCTGCAGTCTAGACATAGCCAGTGACTGTAAATAACCAGAACTTCATTTTCAGACTTTTTGGGTAGCTAAAAATAACTGATTTTTTTCAATGATGTTTTTTTCTTAAGACAAGGAAAACTCCACTTTATCTAAATAAAATTATTTCTCTTTCAGCTCTTAGTCCGTGCAGGTGCTAAACTGGATATTCAGGATAAAGATGGAGATACTCCCCTACATGAAGCCCTAAGACATCATACTTTGTCACAGCTTCGCCAGCTCCAAGACATGCAAGATGTGGGCAAGGTAGATACTGCTTGGGAGCCATCAAAGAACACAGTAAATACAATTCATTTATTTATTACTTTCTTTCCTGTACACCTCTTTCTGTAGTCTAGTCTGAAGTTTCTGTACCGTTGAACTACACCTGTCAGCACAGATTTAGAGACATTCTTCACCAAACTACATATAGTAAAACCTGTGCTATCCAGAACTTAAAAACTGTAGAAACTGGCAAATTTCTGACGGTGGGAAAAGCAAAACAACAAAAAAACAAAAAAAGGAAACTGGCCATTTAAGTGCCGGGCCACTCCTCAGACGAGCATGTACCTGGGGGAGAGGCGAACGGCAGCTGGAAGCAAGCAGCATGCATCTCCGCTCCCCCCACAGCTTCTGGCAGCCCAGCCTAGCCCCCCCGCGGCTCTCTCCTCCTCCCCTTCCATCTCTGCCTCTCACCCCTCGGCTTCCTTCCCACCAGGCCACATCCCCTCCCCCTCTGGGGCTTGTGCCCACTCCTTACCCCCAGCAGGCCACATCCTGGCCCCTGCATGGCTCCTTTCCTCCCCCCTCAGATAACGAGAATTTTTAAGTTACCGGCATGCCCTAATCCCCAGGCGTGCCAGATAACACAGGTTTTACTGTATTTAGCCATATTGAAATCATGCACATTTTTATGCTTACACATTAACTCATCTGTTTTAAAGAAATGGGGGTATGCACACAAAAATATTAACATACTCTTCTTTGGTAGTCAACTTGTATGGAATTGGGAAGAATTTTTTTGTAATAGAAACAAATAAACCTAATACAGTACAGAGATTAAGACTAAAATGTGCTTTGATTTAACATCTTTCATGGCTTTGTGGCTTTGAGGTGTTATGTTTTGTGTGTTAGCTCCAAAACTTTGAGAATTTATGCAGGTTAATTGTATTTAGCTATAGTTTAATCATGTTAGCTAGTAAACTATATTTATGTGCAGACAAATTCATTTCAGAAGTTTCTTCTGATGAGGCTGGTGTCTCACCAAATATGAAAAACAAAGAACAAAGTTCAATTGCTAACGCCCAAAAAACTAAGGATGATCATCAATACTAGGAAGAAGCAGAGAGAGATAAATAAGACAGCTATCTTATTGTGATAAAATTGCAGTTTATTTCTTAGATACATACATCTTTTTAAAGGAATAAATCCTCTTAATTGATATATTACCTCATTTTTAGAATTTTGTTCTAGTCTAGTCCTTTTTGAATATTAAGTGCTTTGGTGATTAATTTTTAAAAACAAATCACATTTTAAAATGACATATTGTGTTACCATTGGTTCACTATAATGTGTATATTTGCTATTGTGTGTACATTACATTTCAGGATTTTTTTGCTTTTATTGCACTTGGTACACAAAATATTTTTACACATCCACTTACCGGTAAAGTGATGAGTGAGGTATAAACATGCCATAGTGTAGTTACGGAGTGCCTCAGTAAAAATTCTTGACTCTTGTTTTAAATGATAACCTTACACTTCAGTTTAGCTTTGAAAAGCATTCTAGATGAAATTGGTGAACAGTGATTTTTCAGCGACTGTAGATTAAACTAACTCAATTTAAAATAAAAAATGGAGCATTTAATCAGTTCTGTTAAATCTCCTGTGATCTGAAAGTTGGGCGGAATTCTTCCTTAATCATTCAACTTAACCTCTACTAATAAAAAACCTGTGAGACAAACGTACATCAGTTGCAACCTTTCTCTTGATTAAAGCAGAATTTCCCTTTTCCAATCACTCTACAAAACCTGATGAAACAGTAGGGTTTTATAGGTATAAGATGGAATTTTACCATGCAATTCAGGGTAACAGTTTTGTTCCTACAGGAACCAGGAGTAGAATTCATGTATCACATTCATGTCTGTGTTGGCTCTTGCAGGGCTAAGAAATGCAAACAAAAGTAAAATCTATTTTTCTGTTGCTAAATATTTTATTCACAATATACTACATTTGCTAAGTAGTCAGTCATTTTTACTGTAATTGAACATAATATTCCAGAAACAGTTTAAACCAAAGTTTTGTAGTGAAAAAAGCATATGTTCAAAACTAAATGCGTTGTGCAGTATTAATACATTATTTTTAGTTACATACCAACCTGTATAAATATGATGGGGATGTACCGTATATACTCGAGCATAAGCCGACCCGAATATAAGCCGAGGCACCTAATTTTACCACAAAGAACTGGGAAAAAATATTGACTCGAGTATAAGCCTAGGGTAGGAAATGAGGCAGCTACTGGTAAATGTAAAAAATGAAGATAGATACCAATAAAATTACATGAATATTTATTTCAAAGAAAAACAATAACCTAGCTCTGTAAGTGGAAAAGGGGGTCAACAAAAACAATATGGTATCAAAAATACCGTAACTTTAAAAGTACAACAACCTTAGCTCAATCAGCAACCAAGCTAACACACAAGAGCTAAAATCCTTCAAAACTGGAGTTCTCCTCCTCATCATCTGTATGTCCAAACAGAGCTTCAGCTGGTGTGAGGTTATCAGCATAGACATTGTCATCATCACTGAGTTCACAGTCATCACCATCACTGCTGTCGTTCTCATACAAAGCGCTGTCTTCACTGCCATCCATAGCATTACTAATGCCACATTTCTTGAAGGCGCGTTGCACCAGGTCCTCTGGAATCTCTTCCCATGCATCACGAACCCACTGTGCTATCAATTCTATGTCTGGCTTCCTCAGATTTCCAACTTTTGTCAGTCGAGCTTGACCAGATGACATCCATTCATGCCACATCTTTCGCACACGGTCTTTGAAAGGTTTATTTAAACACACATCTAGGGGCTGCAATACAGATGTAAGCCCACCTGGAATAACTGCCCTCAGAAAATCATCTGTGTGGTACCTGATGATTTTTTTAATAGTTACCACTTTAGGATACTTTTAATAGGAAATAAAGAGAAGTAAAATTAGATGTATAAAAAAGGGTATTCCTTTCAACATTAAAAAGTTGTGAATAAGAATATTAGGAAAAAATACATTCTTAATTCAGTTATAAAACTACTATAGTAGGATTTAAATATTTCAATAAATATTTATTGTTCCTCCCAAACCTTCACCGGCATATCGTCATGACCAACAGGGTTACTATGTCCTCAACCCTGTGAGGTAAAGGGTCTTGGTTTGTTTTTCCATACATGATGACATTGGCTGGCAAGTTCTCCAAAAAAAAACAAAATCCTCATGAGATTTTTATGCACCCTGTCACCAGTTTCTGTTCCCGTTGATCTTAGAACTTGTTAATATGAACGTTTTTGTGTTAAATTGTTGAGTGTTCCATAGCTGACTGTTATATAATTTAATATTGTTCTTGTATTCTTTATAGTAGTTACTTTCATACGTTACTCATTTCCCAATTTACTGTTCAATTCAAAATGTGTCACAGTAGAAAGAGAAATCACTTTCTCTTTCATGTCTTTGGTTTTTTCCCCCCTTGGTACTTGCATCCTTCTAGTTCTCCAGCTGTCCATAGTCCTCCAGTATAGACATATTTTCAATGTTAAGTCCTATATTCTTCTAGTTCCTACTTTGAAAGTTTTAAATCTACAGAAGATCTTTATTATTGAGGGGCTAACGTTTGTTTAAGATGACCTAATGGATACACATTCAGACAAAATGCCTTGAATTTTTTTCCTTAACAGTTTGTTCAAAGCAGGATAATGAGAAAAACAGGCATAAAGAAAATGGAGAGGAATGATGTTCTACCATTAAGCTTTGTGACAGAGTTAGGGTGAGATTTGGGGAGCACTGGCTCAGTGACCCCCAGAATACAAGGGGACAGAGATTGCATTGTTTTGATTTAATTGTATATAAACAGTGTCTTTAAATGTTGTTGCCTTTAATTAATTAATCTAAGGTTACTCAACATATGGCTCATGGGCTGTGGGCCACATGTGACCCGTTTGTGGCCCGCGGTATGGTTTGGGTTTACATGGGGCTCAACATATGGCCCATGGGTGGGATCCTTTGAACATGGTCTCCACTGGGATCACTCTCCACAATAGCAAGTCATTATAATGGTCTTCTGTTGATATGTGTTTTAGTCGTTAAATTCCTGGACTGTCATTGCTCCTAAAAAGTAATGTTATATGGATGGAAGTCAAATAAACATTGCATTTTATTAATATCAGCAGAACTGACTTAAATGGGGCCTGCATGTTGTGTGATCTTGCCTTAATCTTTGTATTCATGCCCCTCAATGTGAAAGAAGCTGTTTTCTTATACATTTGCATGTATACAACCACACTTAAGTTGTGGCCCTCAGCATGTGCTATGAGTTCCATTGTGGCCCCTGGGGCTTCCAAAGTTGAGTAGCCCTGAATTAATCTATGCAGGGAACTAACCTGGTTGAAAATTGGGTTATCACACAATGCTTTTTATTTTAGAACACATGCATGCTCAGAACTCATCAAAATGCTATTTAGAAGATATATTCTTATATATGTGCACGTGTTAAATGCTCAGTTTTCCTTGAGTAATAAGACTATATTCTCAAATATTTAAATAGAGAATCTCAAGTCAGTTCCTATTTAATTTCTTTCAGTTAATAATGGGACTTGGCACCCAGGGAGCAGAGAAGAAGAGTGCAGCATCTATTGCTTGCTTTCTGGCAGCAAATGGAGCTGATCTCAGTATTCGTAATAAGAAGGGTCAGTCTCCTCTTGACCTCTGCCCTGATCCTAACCTCTGCAAAGCATTGGCTAAATGTCACAAAGAAAAAGTCAGGTCTGTATATCAACAAAATACGGAATTACCGAGTATCATGTTTTACATTTTTTCATTTCCTTGGAAAAGATCAATTGAAGTAGAATACATAAAATAAAAAGCCTCTTTTTCAAGTATTAATGAAAATACACTACTGAAAATCATGATAAAGGTAAGTAATGTTATATTCAGATATTGCTTGTCCATCCAGGTTAGATTTACATTAGCCATGTAAAGGTTAAAGGCTCCTTTCGTTAATCCTCAGATCTAAATAGCTATTTCTGTTGATTTTTACATTATTTCCATGGTGTCTTTTTTTTTTTAAATAAATTTTAAAACACAAAAATCAATTATCTGACCCTGTTTGGCAGGTATTTTCTTCTGCCGGGAACATGGGTCCTTGGCCTGAAACACGAATCCTTGGCTATTTTGCTTGTACACCAGCACCTTTTTTGGTTAGACCTCTGGAAGTAAAGTTTTGTTTAACAGATGCTGACTCT